CGTTGGGCGGAGCCCGGCCGCCGCGGGGCGCGGCCGTGCCGTTCGCCGCCTCCGAGGAGTTGAAGGGCGCCGGGTAGGAGAGCGCCGGCGCGAACAGCGAGCGCTCCATGGCCACCGTGTTGGTCCACGCGTACACCATCTGCGACACACGGCTTAGCGTCAGCATGCTAACGTGCGACGTCGAGGTCACCTAGGTCACAGGGTCAAAGTCGGGGATTCTTTCCATACTTTCCTTTTTTCCAGACCGACACCGGGATGAGAATTTGTTCGGCGATTCCCGGTGGCAAGAGCACAAATTCCGTCGCAAACTTGAGGCGAGAGAGAACAGAGACCTTTCCCTCCTTGCTCCTTTCTGACAGTTCGGCTCTCGGCCTCGGTTCAGTTACTCCGGCATCAGAAAATCCATTTTGGCAAGAAAAGCCATTTTGACCACGCGTTTTGTGATGACAATATTTTCCCTCGGACGAGCAAATCGCTATCGGGCCTCCTTGATGACGAGCCATCGCAATCGGCCCTGAAACAACATCTCGCATCTGTCGCCGAGCAGGCTAAAAGCTAACGCGCTAAGTGGACAGGAAGTGAGGGGCTCGTGACGGGGTCGAGCCCCGCCCTCCGCCAGCCTCCCTTTACCACCGACCGTCAAGTCTCACCAATTAATGAGGCGAGGCCTAAACCTCCTCAACATCGCCGACGCGGCGCTCGTGCGTGGCGAGCCGACATACCTTCCAGCCGGGCGCCAAGCGGCCGCGCGATGATCCAAACGGCTGACGATCGACCGAGCGCTCAGTGTGGGAGATAAAGATGACGTAGGCCACGAAGAAGGGACTGCGTGCCCATCGCGTCCGGTTGTGCGCGTTGTTCGCCGGAGGAGGAGGAGAGGAGGATGAGGAGGAGGGTTCCTGGGCCGTACCAAGTCATGTGTGACGGGGGGGCACCCGGCCCCTGCGCAACAAGGAACACCCTCCTTCGTCTGAAAAAGAAATGAGCACATCTTTGTTAGAACGACCTAAGATCCGATGCTTCAGTGTACGGACATGTGCAGGGATCGATATCGATATACACTTACACGCGCGATATAGACGGCGGTCGCTGACGTGAAAAGAAAGTGGCCGTGAGTCGCTCTTGTTACCGTGGCAACATCGGCAGCTGCGGGCCATCGTCATGGCAACCAGCGGGGGATTGAGACGGGTGGCGGAGGCCTCGCGTCACTTCGCGACTCGCCCGTCAATCACTTTTGGTCGGGATTCATTCGATGGGTGCCTCTTTTTGACATTTTTATTTGCCCGTCCGTGGCCATCATCATCATCATCATCATCATCACATGTACAACGCTGAGCTGTCAATGAAATATTTACAAAACCAAGGCAGCTATTTACAAAAGCGAACGTTTTGTTGTTGTTGTCGTCGTTGCTGTTGCTGTTGTTGGGGGGCTGGGTTCAACCTCGCAAAGCTCCATCCACCGTCAGCGTCCCGAATCTGAGGAAGAGCATCACAGTCACTTTCGGCTTCGCATGCTAGGCTCGGCTCGGACTTTGAGGGGTCGACGAGCTGGTTTGTTTCTGAATTGAGGCTGATGCCCTTGCACGATTTTGCAAGAAAGAATTCCAGTACCTGGACAACCCCCCCACCCCCCAACACGATGAATCAAAGAACATTTGGGGTGCTGAAATTAGAAGCCAACTGCAACATTTTTTCGCCGCTAATATGTTCTCTGCGCCCCAAAAACGGCCTTCTGACGAACATTGCGCGAGTGGAATACAAATGGAGCGGCCGCGAGCGCTCCAAGCGCAGGAAAGCCGCGCTTTTGGCTTGAGCGCAGTCAGAGCTCCCTCTCGTGGACAAACGCCGCGCGCGCGCGCATCAGCCCGAAAGACTCGCAGCCACAAAGAAGGGCGAGGAAGGGCGGGGCCGTCGGGATTGTTCGGGAAAGGCTTCATTCTCTGCCGGCCGGTTCAGTCGGGCCCCGAAGCGGTGCCGCTAAGCGAAGCGGCAAGACGACTCCGACCGCGACGCGAGCGCGAACGCGAACACGTCAGGCAAAAGGAGTCGGGTGACCTTTCCAGGAAGTGGTTGTTCTCGGCCAGTTCCTTGACCACGCCCTCCATCTCCTCCTTCAGCTTCTTCATCCTGTCTCACACGCGCACAACCGCCACGTCGTCAATCAGGGGGCGGGGCCGGGCCGGGCCACGCCGCGGCGGCGCGTCACGCTCCTCTTACCCGAGCGTCATCTCCACCAGCGTGTTCTGGCTCAGGTACGCTTGAGGCTTCAGACCGCTCAACACCAACGGAAGAACTTTGGCGGGGACTTGCTCCTGCAGCTGGACACACCGCAACCAAGCGACGTCAACGCGGGCGCGCCAAAAACGTCCCGAGCGCGGCGCCACTTCCGTCGGCTTTTCGGAAATCCCGCAAGTGAGCCGGGAGAGCGCCGCGTGGACGCGACGCGGCTCGGACCGGATCGGCGAGCCCGAGCCGCGCGCCGTGGTAACGGCGGTGGAGTTCCTGGATCAAAAAGGGTCCCCGACTGCTGACCGGGGAGAAGGAAATGATTGATGAAGGCTGGGCAACGCGGCGACTGCCTGCCGGGTCATCGGTCCGTCATTCCCTCCTCCCAAACGTCAACTCTTCAAGCGCTCCCGAACGCATTTTGGGTCCCGAGCGAGCGCCGTACGGTGTTCCGGCGTACCTTGGCGGCTCTCTCCATCAACACGCTAACTTCCTTCTCGATGCCGATGAGCTGCGTCGTCAAGGCCAGCAGCTGCTTCCTCACGTGGTGAACCTTCCTGCACGCACATGCACGGCGGCCCCGTTAAGGCGGCGGGGAGGCAAGCGGCGGTCGGCGCGGGAAAGCAGCTGACCTCATGGACTCCTCGCTCTTGGAGATGAAGAGGCGGTACCTCATGGCGCACTCTTCCGTGAACAACGAGCGAGCTTTGCTGGCGTGCAGGACCAACTTCTGCCTGGCGCGTGGAAAACACACAGCAGAGGCGGCGGCGGCTCAACTTGCAATCCAAACACGGCCGAGATGAGACGAGACGAGGCCAATCCAGGCCCGGAGAGTCAAAACCCCGCCGCAGCTTCCGGGCCCGGATCGGACGCCTCGCTACGACGTGCGCGTCAAGCAAAGCCATCTTCCTACTTTGAAGCACCTACTTGTCAAACTTGTGGATCTGCTCCTCATTGTACGGGAGACCTGAAAACACACACACACACACACACACATTTGAAAAGCTCCAACGGCTGCCGCGGCTCTCACTGTTGCTGTGGAGTCGTACTGACGGCGTTCAGCTTTGTCCTTCTTGAACTGTTGGTAGATGGCCGTGATGGCGTCCAGCAGAACTTTGATCTTTTCCACACTGCGCGCACGCACACACATCACGGTCGGCACGCGCGCGCCATAGCACGGAAAGGCATGTTTCTGCGCGTGCGTCCTACTTCCTGTCTTGGGGGTGCGTGCCCACTTGCTGCGTCCAGGCGTCACTCAGCGGGCCTCCTGGGAGGAACTTGGCCTTCAGGTCCTGCGTGCTTCGATCGATGGGCTCCAGCGAGCTGCTGATCTGCACGCACGCGCACACGGTGAGACGGTCGCGGCGACGGGCCCCCGCCAAACTCCCCACTCACCCTGACCACTTTCTTGTGCATGTCGGCAATCTCGTCATACTCGGACGTCAGCATGTTGGCTTGCATGAGAACCTCCAACCTGGGCACACGCGCACGCGCCGATGAAAGCGGCAGCCCGACGGGCACGAGGCATCCGCCC